TTTGACTTAGTAGTTTAGCATAGACTTCGCCACATCATTTTGATTCATTAAGTGAATTTAATCCAGGGAAAGCCTTTTAATGAGGAAAACTGCCATTATAGTAAGGTTTTTTAAAGAGAAATGGGCATTAATTTTAGCGAAATTGGGAGTTGTCCAATATCGAAGGAATATCCTATGATATTACGCATGACTGAGTCAAACATTTTATTAATGTGCATTACTTTATGGAGGAACGCCAAAATAAGTAAAATAAGTGTTACACATATCCGTCTCAGAACTGGAAAATTTTGTCCGAATTTGTTGAGATGCAAGTGAAGCCAAGTTGAAGGAATCGCATTTATTTGGAGAAACAAGGTACGGTTGATGTTTTGAAAATAAGGTTTAACTAACCTGCTAAGATTATTGCACCAAATGTAGCACCAAAAAAGTGTTGATCAGATCTTGTTTTATCGCGTCAACCTAGATGCCACATAATTAAATTGTCCGTATATGTTACCGTGAAGGTAATGTAAAACAGGCCTAATTAAATGTTATGGGGCCGTTGGCCTCATTCCCTCTTTCCATTTCCAGGTCACAGCTGCCGCTTAAGCAGATCAATGGACACAGCTTCTAATACATCCAATTACCTTGACTCACGTACTACGTGCATGACCTATTCCCTTTTCAATCACTTCTCAATGTGTCCTGTTGACGCCGTGGGCAATTATTCTCGCAACCGCCAAGTTTACCTCGCGACCCGTCCAAAGGGTATAGGCAGTTACTTACGATTATTTGACGTAACCCCGTCGTACAGCCAATGCGTGCGTGAATCAAGTTTGCTTTCAAACTGTCTTGTGCTACTTATAGGACAGTTTAGATATGATATGCGATACATTACGTCCAACTGCTCCCGGGGCTTTAATCTGTACTTCATTCGCATGACCCGTCTACGCATGGTAGCCTCGGGACGGTGTGTAATTCCCACGTCTAGTGCCACACCAATGAGCTCGATCGCTTCCGAGAAATCCTTGATGTATGGCAATGCATGCCACATCGTAAGAATTGTTTCTCATTGGGCCCTCGGATTTAGAGCACCTAGCCATCGCCTTATGAAAGTCTTCAGATAGACATTCTGCACACATGCCTCACATGCGATTTCTTCAGCATTACTGTAGTGAGTCTGGATTCCTTTGAACAGCGTGCTCACACAGCTTCGTTTGTGAGCCACCGGATAGCTGCTGTGAAAAATGATGAGCCGCGTGGTGTTTGTCGCTTTTCTATAGGTCGTCATTTCCGGTGACTGATATTTCTACTCTATCTATGCGAAAATTTGTCTCAATTCGTAAGTAAGATGTGTTTGGAGTGTCGGTACTGAGGTGAACTCCGCTTTTGCGGACGCGCATGTGACTGAATAAGTCCATGCGCTGGGTCGACAAAAGAACCGACTAGTAAACAACAGGACACTTGCGAAAGAATTGTCATTGAACAGCTTTTTTATCGATCTTCGCATCAAGCTTCACAGGGACTGCCACTTTTGTGTTGCCACCTGAAAGGCGTTGTGTGATCAAACAGGATGTGTGACACCTCTTTTCCACAAATGTTTGTCCTTCCCTCCAATGAAGAGCAAGAAATGCAAATGATAGCCAAACAATGGTCGATGATGTACCTGGCATTTAAATAACCATGAGCGACAGGGATAACCAGTGTCTCAGGAGGTTGTAGGAGGGATGACTTCCGCGTTAATTTATTTCTGTCGTTCGAGAGGGACTTGCATTCTATGCTCCCCATCGCAGATCTCTGCATCTTAACGCGTTTCTGTGAAGTGTTTCTAGTGTTAAAATTCCCTCAAAGTTACACCTAGCAGTCTTAGAAGGATGTAGAGCCATAAACTAGCGGCGGCAGCCAGTTGGGTGTGTGTCGGGGTTGTTTCTGTTGCTGGTCCCACCGGTGTGTGCGTGCTCGTATGCGAAGCTTACTATTGTGTGCATATCCTGGATAGAAATCTGGTGATTCTATAAGCTGGTGGAATTCTAAGCCATAGTGTTTATGTGTGTAGCACAAGAGTGCCAAAATGCACTTGGTGTTTGTAAATAAGCCAAAAGCCGCTTAATTCGAAGCAAGACGACTGATCTACGCATTTTACTCTCCAATGTACCTTTAATTTGATATAATTGAGTAGTAATATTGGTAGTAATGAGAATAGCACTGTTTATGCTACCAAAAGGCGATGGATAACTCGCAATTGCCTTAACGCTGGTTGAAAGAGTGGGCTGTATAAGGTGATCATTGCGTGATATCGACAGAGTGAAGGAACCTAAACAAATTCCACCTAGATGAAACGAAATGTTTTTATTTTAAATTTTGCCTAATCGTTTTCTACTGGAACAGCCACTTTCAGCGAGAAAAGAATTCATGCATGACACACTCCTTAAATTACGCAGGATACGTTAGCACCTAGTTATCAGACCTAGGCCTGTCTACTGTCCACATTACTCAACTATCCCTCCCTTTAGGTGCATAAGGCTGGCGTAATGTGGTCTGAAGACTAGTTTTCAGCAAACCTCACAGTTTTTATCAAAGACCTGAACCGTCTATGTAATCTGCCAAGCTGGTGCCGCCTGAGCTCCCTTTATCTACGTATGCCTCGTCTTGGAATGGCTTACTAGAATTTTTTTACTTATTTGAAAAATTGGCAAAGTTGTGCTGGAGAACTTCGCGTCTAACCTAAGCCATTTATTTCTTCGTGGAAGTATGATCCTGAAAAGTGTCTGGTTAGCGAACTTTTTCTGACGAGTGGCCGCCAACGGTATTATCTTCAAAAACGCACATCCGCTCGATCAGAAATACAGTTGAAATAAGACCTTCAATGCCCTATCTTCTACTGAAAGACTTTCATCAAGCTAAATGCCGTCAACACAGAAAGAGTTCCACGATTGTAAATCATATTCAGTTAAACTTTAATGCATGCTTTAGAAAGAGCACACTTTAGCACATTATGGATCCAAGGAATACATAGAGATAAACGGGGATTTCGGAAATTCAATCGGAATACACTTTTTAAATCAAATTTCCTTTTTGAGTGAGTCGGGCAATCCTTTACAAATCCACAGTGTCATATAATTCTGTCTATACTCCCCTAGATAAATACTTCTACTTGCCTCTTTGATGGTAAGTGCGCTAGTAAAGTGACCAACCTTCATCATTAAAAATGTCTCCTAATAGGACTGCAGTGCGTGTCTAATACAAATTGTCCCACAAATCAGCAGTTGCACATAGGAATGCAGTTAAGACTGAATTGAAATTTGAAAAGCGGATGCAAACATGGAGCAACAGTCGACAAAATGTAAGGATTTCTTTCAAAACTGCTCCTAGAAATTAGAGAGTGCATTTAGTTGCGCTTGATATTTGGCAGCATTAAAGCTTATCACTTGATCCAAGGTGAATCGTCCGATTAACGGAGTATATGAGACAATGTAACCTTTGATGTGGTTTAATTCAGCAACGGTACACAGCCTGACTGACCTCTCGCACTATTACTGAAACTGTCGTTCTGTGCGGTAGGTGTCTGGCCGATCTCGGTGTTCGGACTTTATAACATGGCTTTGCCCAAATCTCTGCAGTTTCCGTTTACCAACAGCTGAATTCACCGCATGAAAATTCAGAATATGAATGCGGAATCCAGGTAAGACACTTTTTTTCTTTGAAGTTTGTTTAACATGTTTCTAGTGACTAGAACACTGTCAGGGAAGTTTATGCTCCCTATGCTAAACCACTGCATTCTAAGAATTATCTACCAGATAATCCTGAAATTTGCGATGTTTGTTTCTAAAAGACATTTTAAAACTTTTGCTCGTTATAAAGGAAACGTCAAACAACCTATGCAAGCTGGCGAAACAGGGTCAAGGACATTCCCCTACTACTTCCTTAAATTCAGCATTTACAGGATTACTAGAGCAGTAGTAGTTGCGCTCCGTTGTAAATCCGCATGCTGCAAAAACCTTACCGAAGTGTTTATTCGGCAACATCTAGTATCTTTATTTGAATGGATGAAAAGGTAAGCTTTTGAAAAGAGTTTTCCCTAGCGGAAATTGCTAGTTTTTCCATTATCGACAGCATTGCCTGCACGAATCCAGCCACTCCATACCAGAAAGCACAAATAATTAGAACGTAAAATTCCTTCTAATATCAAGTTTTCTTGCTCCTCTCCTAGGCACTTGTTGACCATCTATTTACTTTTTAAAAAGTATCATTTAAATCAGAGACTTTTTCAGTCGTTAATCCTCTCCGGAAGGGTCTTCAATCCACTAAGACCTTCAAAAGCCACCCAAAATTAAACGAATTCACCAAGGGTTCTCACGGGTTGCTTAAATTACCACACAGAAGACTTTGTTTTTACAAGGATAACTTTTGCCATTGCTACACTGTTTAAGTAGAAGAAAATGTATCCGGTTCGAATTTTGGCAGTAAACCATTTGGGAGTTGGGTATGACTGGTTAATTACTGTGAATGTGCCAGAAATCGCCATTGCAGTATCATTTGACCTTGCGAGCAATTTCATCTGTTTATGTTACAAGACGCTGTTCGGGGCTCGAGCAAAAGCATAATTGGAAAGCGGGTAGGGTGTGTTCCGGTGAATGTTAATGAGCAATCTAGAGAAATTTTAATTGAGCTGCCAAACTGTCATCAGATAGTGTATTCTATCAGTTTATTAAGCTTCGTCCATAGTAAAAAAGTCCTAGATAACGGCAGTCATATTGAGACTTCAGTTATCGCTAAATTGCGATCAGCAGCCATAGATAAAATTGCAATGATTTAATTTAGAAAGCGGCCATCACAATATTCCGATAAGCAGGCGGTTGTCCTTTTTCCCTTCCAATTTTATTAGTTAGCAAAGTCCGATACGACCATCATTTTTGATACGGATTGGCATTAGTAGCCATCATCTAGGAACGCGCTGGCCAATGGGGCAAATATAATCGCCGCGGGGAGAGAGGGAGTGAGGGATGGGGTGGGTTCAAAAGTTAGGGATTTTTTCCGGGCTTTGTGGTTCCTTCGGTAGCAAGACTAAACAGATCGTCCATTTCCTCGTCCTCCGAGAACTGGTCATCGAATGCTGAGGGGGGATTTACGTTGGAGGACTGGGAAATACCAGCAGAAGAGAGTTTTGCTCTTGTCGCGACAGCTCTTGTACCTATAGTGAGCGAAGTTGGCTGCAACGGAGGGAACAGGAAAAAAAAAGGGTAGGATTATGTCGTGAGGTCGTCTGGGGAAATTGTGAAGCGCGCCCCGCAGGCTTATGCACACCTGATTTTCGGGGAACAAGTTAGGTTCCAATTTTCATGTTAAATAAAAAAGTTACGAAGGCAAGTTGGGTCGCGTACTCAAACCTTGGGAGAAGACACTAAAATGAGCTTCAAAGTCATCGCTAACCCCCCACTCGACCAACGGCGAACGCGTATATGGAGGGGGAGTGTGCCCAAACCTCGGGCAAATTAACTGAGAGACATTTTCCAGTGGTATCACCAACACTAACTAGGAAAAAATTTTAACGAAGAGCAAAAGTGGGGTGATTATGTAACTCACCTTACTTAAAATTTGTAAGGAAGCGATAATTCCCGTGGGTAGTTCAAAAGGCCAACTTTTCTTAGTTTGCTGATTTTAACAATTATGGAATGCGGCTGCCTTTGGAAAACCGCTCTGCAGTTCAATGCCATCAGCAAATCCCAGCTGGATCGATGGATGGCGTGTAGAAAACCAGAAGATTATAGGTAATTTAACCTACTTAAAAATTTAAGTAGGGGCCATTATACATAAGGACCTTTCACGGACCTCACGAGATAATCCTACCAAAAAAAGAATAAAGAGTTTTATCCCTTCCAATGTGCAGTACTCAAATTCTCAAATCCCTAATAACTGCATTGCAAAAAAGGCTGCAATTATCTCTGAAGATGAACCCATGTTCTTGAAGATGAATTCATGTTCGAAAGCTCAGAACAATAAGTCAATTGACCTGGTGCTCCACACGCCTTCTTCTTCGTCCAGGCTGTAATTTGCTTACACCTACGTTGATGACGTCTACCCGCTACCTTCCACATACATCCTAGTCCTTTAGTTCTGTTTTCCTTAATGGTTAATATTTCGATCGTTGACATACGAGCGGTCCTCCAGCAAAACGAGCAATGTCATACGACTTCTGGCTTTCTCTTCTACGGAGCCGTCGTCTGCTAAGACGAGATATCATGCATTTGGCCTTGAACGTCGTCTCATTTACCCGACTATGAAATAGTTCCCACACCTTCCTGAAGGTCACTGGCCTCGTGGGCCAAAGGCCACTTAAATTTGCCAAACGATCACATTCTGATAAATAAACTCGGGAGAAACAGCTCATTTTGATGACATTTCGCAATTCACCATCGATATTCGCCAAATTGATGACAGGAAGAATAGCGTTGCTGATATGATATCCTAGCCTTTCTTCTCGGCCTTTTCTGTGTCACATGGGATTGACCTTAATGCCATGGCGACTGGGCAACTGCAGTTTGTTCAGTTCACAGATGTCCCACTGACCACCGATAACGGCAAAATCCTTTGTGACGTAAACAAGGGCAGAGCAATGTGCTTTTTGCACGATTCTGTATAGTGAAAGATAGGGATAAGTGAATTCCGTAACAGATCGGTGAAATTTCACTCTGCAAGGTCAATATTCCCGATGTAAACCGATAAGACTATGAGTCGACCTGATTGTTGGAAAGTTGGGCCTCTAATCAATAGACCGCGGGTTCGAGCACCGGGTGGTGCACCACTTGGAGATGATTATAGCTGGCCGATTACGACTAATAAACCAGAAAGGGTCATTCCAATTTCCATTGCCTCTGTCGGCAATTTATCTCTAAGACCAAATTGCAACCATTTACTGCACAGGAAAGCTGCTGTGCGCAGGCAACTGAATTATTAGGCAGTTGGCAGAAAAAGGGAGAAGGAAGACATCATTTTTTTAAAAGAACCCTGCACTAATCATTCCATTAACAGTCACAACTGATGGGGCCGAGGTATATGGGGACGGTGGGCAATCACGCCTGAGCTACCGGGTGTGCCTGTGCCGAAGACGAAGGTGTTTCGAGCACCAGAATCGTAATTTCATTTTTCTGAGCTTTCGGGCTCTTGTGGGAGTCCATCGTTAGATATAAACCATCAAAGAAAAGCTAGCAACAGTTATAGGGGAGCAGGAACCAATCAAATGTTATGCTGGAAGGGGGACGAAGGGGAGGGGGGAACTAATTACACACCAGTATCATCTATGCGGATATGTCTGCGGAGGGCGATGCATGCGGACACCAGCTCAGTAGAACGAAAGCTCAGAAAGATAAAATTACGATTCTGATGCTCGAAACGCCTTCGTCTTCTGGGATGCGAACCTTTGCCTCAATTCGTGCGTCTGTGCCGTCGGCTACTCTATTATGCGTGGCGGCTGGACTCAGTCTAGGTCGCTTTCCTCCAAGAGTGTTGCATTTTCGGCGGGGTGGTGTATTCATGCTTGCCCCAAACTGATAGGACACACCTGAAGTCCTGAGCTAGAGTCGGTACATCTGATTTAGATGTGAAATGGCTTTGGAGCAAGCATTCTTGTGACGAGGGCCATTTAAGCTCCAAAGCAAAGGTGGGCAGTGGGTGCTACTGAGTATGATTTACATCTACTTTGCGATAACATCAACGCCCATTTGCCAGACCACAGATAGGGGACAGTAACTGGTTGAGAAGCAGCTTACGATGGAGGTTGCCAGTCCCCCGGCCGTCTGGCCAACTGGCTTCTATCCTTAACCTTAAAGTATACTGTAGGTTTAGTCCGGTACAGTGCACAACGTTAACGTCT